GTATGCATGATATGTTACAAAATAAAAGGAGTCAGGTCCTTTCCCTCAGTAAGATTATGCACTAAAGCTTGATTTGATTGAATAACAGAGAAAAATAAAGCAGGAGAAGAATGTGTGATTATTACTCATATTTTTAGGTTAAGTTGTACAGAGGCATTTTGACATTATTTCTAAAAATCAAGGGACCCAAGGGAATAAATTCATAGTTAGGAATAAAAGCTACCTTGCACTGAAAGTTCTCTCATTCTGCAACCGTTCTCCCATCTATTATGTTCAAGAATGGGGCCAATTCATTTCTAGCCTTGTCCTAATATTTTTGAAAGTGCAGTAAGTTAGGGTTGATTTGTTTTTTTGAAACTTGCAGCTACGTTGTGCTTGTGGATAGTTCTCACAAAGATGATTTTCCAAAGGTAACTGGACTTTGTTTTTCCTTGAAGATGTTTCATATCTCATCCAAGAAGCTTCTTCATTTCTGACTGTAAAAGCACCATTGGGACAATCAATGGCAGGGGGGCAGAGGTCGACCTCGAGGCCTCTTATATGTGGAGTGCCTCAGGGGTCGGTCCTCTCGCCCCTCCTGTTCAACATTTATGTGAAGCCGCTGGGCGAGATCATCCGTGGCTTTGGGGTGAGATACCATCAGTACGCTGATGATACTCAGCTGTACATTTCCACCCCAGGCCACCCCAACGATGCCCTTGAAGTGATGTCCCAGTGCCTGGAGGCTGTACGGATCTGGATGGGGAGGAACAGGCTCAGGCTCAACCCTTCCAAGACTGAGTGGCTGTGGTTCTCGGCATCCCGATATAGTCAGTTGACTCCATCACTGACTATTGGGGGCGAGTCTTTGGCCCCCACAGAGAGGGCTCGCAATCTGGGAGTCCTCCTGGATACACAGCTGTCCTTGGAGGAACATCTGACGGCTGTAACCAGGGGGACCTTTTATCAGGTTCGCCTGATCCGCCAGTTGCGGCCCTTTCTTGATCGGGATTCCTTGTGTACAGTCACTCATGCCCTCGTGACCTCTCGCCTTGATTACTGCAATGCTCTCTACATGGGGCTCCCTTTGAGGAGCACCCGGAGGCTCCAACTGGTCCAGAACGCAGCAGCGCGGGTAGTGACGGGAGCAGCGTGGCGCTCCCATGTAACACCGCTCCTGCGTGAACTGCACTGGCTCCCGGTGGTCTTCCGGGTGCGCTTCAAGGTGTTGGTTATCACCTTTAAAGCGCTCCATGGCATAGGGCCTAGCTATCTTCGAGACCGCCTACTGCCACCGACGACCTCCCACCGACCCGTGCGCTCCCACAGAGAGGGCCTCCTCGGGGTGCCATCAGCCAAACAATGCAGGCTGGTGACCCCCAGGGGGAGGGCCTTCTCTGTGGGGGCACCTACCCTCTGGAATCAGTTGCCCCCTGAGATAAGGAGAATCCATGACCTCAGTGCCTTCCGCCGTGCCCTTAAAACTTTCTTTTTTCAACAAGCCGGGCTGGCTTAATTTCTTTTTAAGGGTTTTATTAATTGTTCTGTTTTGCTGATCGTTTTTAATTAACGGGGCCAAATCTATATATATTTTTAAATGTGTTTTAATATTTGTATCTGGTGTTTTTATCTGGCTGTTCACCGCCCTGAGTCCTCAGGGAGAAGGGCGGTATACAAATTCAATAAATAAATAAATAAATAAATAAATAAATCATGACCCTGGATGACTGAGAATCTCCATAAACATTGTGGATAGTCCAATTACACATTGAAAAGAATCCTTCCTTACCTCATGAAAATATTGGCACTCAGTGAATTTGACTGGTGAAGAGATTTATTTAATTTGCATTAAAACGTGTTTTCAGGATTGTATAAATGTTAGTCTAGGCAATTAAAATTCTACAAAGCAGTTATGTATAGCACAAATCTCTACCTTGTTTTCTTATTATTAAGTTTAAGTTTTATTTGTCAAGCATATATAAGATAACAGGTAAAAGTATAAACATAATTTGAATACATGAAAAGAGTAAGTAAAAAGGAATATTAGAACAGGGACGGTAGGCATGCTGGTGCACTTATGCACGCCCCTTACAGACCTCTTAGGAATGGGGTGAGGTCAACAGTTGTTGTGGCTCCGTTGCCTGAGCCTGGGCTATCGACAGATGCAGACTCTGAGAGTGAGGGAGAGGAGTTGGCAAGGCCTCCCTCTCCAGGACCCTCCTCTCTGGCAATGCCTCTGAAGGCCAAACGATAGGCTCAGAGCCAAGCACGTCCCCGCAGCCACAGGTGGACAGCGACGAGGAAGATAAGTGCTGGCTGGACCCTTGACAGAGGTGCAGGGAGAAGTGTGCACAGCAGAGGGGAAGGCGTGCCAGAGATTAGCTGAGTCACTGGACCACACCCCACAGGGTATAAATGTGGGTGTGGTGGCCGGTTCAGTTTGTGACGAGCAAAAACTGGAAATACTCCATGATCTCTGCATTACTGGACTTTGCCTGCTTTATCGGACTGCATTTGGACTAATCCTTGTATTATTGACACTCTGCCTGTTTTATTGGAATGCTTGCAGTCTAATCTTTGTTTTGTGTGAGTAAAGTCTGAATTGGCAGCTAGCCACTGGGTTGCTGCCAGCTTTATCTTCAAAGAGTTTTGTCGTGTGTCTTATTAACTCCGGGCCGTCTGTGGGTGTGTGTGCGTGGTACGGAGACAGAACAACAGTGGACAGTTTAAGGTTAAAGTTTGGGGGTTTGGGGATGAAAGCACAGAGTCAGGTAGTGCATTCCAGGCATTGACCACTCTGTTACTGAAGTCATATTTTCTGCAATCGAGTTTGGAACGGTTTACCTTGAGTTTGTATCTATTATTTGTTCATGTATTGTTGTGGTTGAAGCTGAAGTAGTCACTGACAGGAAGGACATTGTGGCAGACAATTTTATGTACTATGCTTAGGTCAGACTGAAGTCGGCGTAGTTCTAAGTGGTCTAAGCCCAAAATTTGGAGTCTGGTGGCATAAGGTATTTTATGGCGGTTAGAGGAATGGAGGACTCTTCTCGTAAAATATCTCCGGACTCTCTTGATTGTATTTATGTCTGATATGCAGTGTGGGTTCATTTATTCTATTACTATCAATTACAGGAAAAGGGCAAATGACAGTCCGGTATAATGAAGGTAGTTACAAAACTATCTGTATTTTGGCAGTTGTAACTGGTTTTTCTAACACTTTCAAGTGCAAATTCACTTGAAGGATTAGAAACCTTTTTTTAATCAGTGAAGAAACCAAATTTTGCTGCTATCACTACCACTAAAAAATAGGCTGTTTGTGTAAACACAGCACATAGACCCCGGCTAGGCTGTGTTTATCTTATCAGACCATATTTCCAATCTGTATCTTTTTTATATGAAATAAAGACTTCACTCTACAAAAGAGAAACATCTAATTATACAGACGCTATAACCAGCAGGCTGATTTCATGGTGACTGCGCCAGATAAGGAAGAGGAAGAGTAGGTTTATTAGTTCCAAATCTGGCAAATGAAATTAAAAAGAAATACCAAGAGGCATCAGCACTTACTGATGCTCAAAAAAAAAAGCAATAGAGCTTATTTATTTTATGCATTCCACAAGCCTGAGGTTCCTTTTGCTTCTAAACAATGTAACATCAGCTTTGTTGTATGGTTAGCAGTCTGAAAAATGGCAAAGCTATTGAAATTCTCTGGCTGTCCCCATATAGCAAGATGTTCTCAGCAGAGAGTGACAAGTCATCAACATCAGGGTAACGTCCTGCCTTGCCATCTGCACAAGCAATCATTTTCTAGTTGCCAGTTATTTTAACATTTCTTAATCAGGTATCTTAAATTCCACTCAAATCAATAACCCAGATCAGCACAAGAAATCTGAGCAGCCTAATCAGCCTCTAGTACTGATCCTTTCATTCAGAAGTGGCCGGTTCCCACTGAGCTAATCTGGCAATGGGCAGACCCAAGGCCAAAGTTGGGTTGAATAATCCATACTCCTTCACTTTTAATTTCATCGTTTCTCCCGTAGACATCCCCTTCTCTTTATTTCCTTTTGATAATGTCTTTCAGCCTAGCAGCAGTATAAATTATGAAAATGCCATTGATAAAACCAGCCAGAGAATGATATACAGAGAGCGTGTCTTAAAAAATTTGCTAAAGTCCATCTGGCTTTCCCTTGGGAAAAATTTCCAGAGCCTCGGTGTATCCTACTGTAATTATAAGTAGACAGAATCTGCTTAAGTCTCAATGGAGATAGGAGGACATGTGGGAGAATAAAGAGAATGTATAATATAGGGATTTAGGAGGAAACAATTTTGAAATTGAAATCTGGCATTGAACATGACCTAGCCAGAAAAGTTTGCTTTCCCTGCATGGGTGGGAAAAATAAGAGGCAGGCAAATGACTTAGTAGGTTTTGCAGGGGTCATAACCCATGATGAGCGTTACCCTGGCCCTATTGCCAGTTCATTGGAACTGGCCCAAAATTTCTGAAGTTGAGCTTAAAAACAGCCTGAAGTGGCACAGGAAAAAAGGAACTTAGGCTGCAGTGTGGAAGTAATGAAGCTTATACTGTAGTAATTTCTAAAACACATAAGTCATACTCATTGTGCTAATTATAAACCTATCTCATTAATACATGTGGATGTTAAAATATTATCTGGGATTTTTGCAAAGAGATTCAAAAAGATATTAATAAGGCCTGATAATTCTTTTCAGGCAGGGTTTATCTATCGTGAAGGACTAAAAAATTGAAACCATTAATTAAGAATTTAGCTTCAAATATGCTAAGATGAATATCGCTAGGATATTGGATTAGATGCAGAGAGATTTGATTAAAGAATTATTAGCAGTGTCTCTTTTTTATTCTTTCCAAATCATCTTGTTTTGTCTCCATGAATTCTTAAAACAGCATGCAATTTTCTATTCAAATCCACATGAGGAATAATGAGATTTTTCCTTTTTATTAGCGGCAGATATGAGGCAAGAATATCCTGTTTCAATTATTATTTGATGTAAATATACTACAGAACCTTTGGAATCTGCAACCAAGCAGAAAAGTGAAAATCCTAGTTTGATATGTACAGGTAAGGAAATTCATTCATTATCTATCCTTTCATCCAGTTATTGAATTTATATGGCTGCACTATTCAAAGTGAGTCTAGGTGGCTTATCACAAATTTAAATCCAATTTAAAACATTAAACCTTGCAAACAAAAAACTCTAACAGCTGAGGAAAATCACTAAAGTCTATAAAACATTTTAAAGATGCATATCTTTATACTAACTTTATACTAACTTTATATAAAATATGTATATGTTCTTACTGTCATTCTAATTATTAAATTGAACTGTCATTATAATTACTAACTTGAATTTCTAAGCCAACATTATTTATTTATTTTATTTTATTGGTTCGATTTATATGCCGCCCTTCTTCAGACTCGCTATGGACAAAATGTCTTTCTGTATGTGAATCTGTGTATTAGTCATATATGTCATAAATGTTATTGTATATATTTTATTATATATACTCTCTCTCTCTCTCTCTCTCTCTCTCTGTGTGTGTGTGTGTGTGTGTATCTATGTATGTATGTGTATCAGAGAGAGAGATAGCAACTATTAAGCAGTGTCTATATACATACTGGGATATCCATCATATGGTGCTGGAGAAGACTCCTGCGAGTCCCTTGGACTCCAAGGTGATCAAACCAGTCAGTCTTAGAGGAGATCAACCCTGACTGCTCTTTATAAGGCCAAATCCTGAAGATGAAACTTAAATACTTTGGCCACTTAATGAGAAGGAAGGACTCACTGGAGAAGAGCCTAATGCTGGGAAAGATTGAGGGCAAAAGAAGAAGGGGACAACAGAGAACAAGGTGGCTGGATGGAGTCCCTGAAGCAGTCGGCGTGAGCTTAAATGGACTCCAGAGGATGTCCAAGGCATGAGCTTAAATGGACCCCACAGGAAGGCCTGCAGGAATGTTGTCCATGGGGTTGTGATGTGTTGGACACGACTTCGCAACTAACAACAACAACAAATATTCATCTTTGATTCCTCTCTCCAAGTAGGTTTTCGCCAACATCTTGACTGTTAGGGATCACAGAAGGAGACCTCTGGCAGAAAATACTTGCTTCTGAATCCCCTTCTGCTTTGCCTCTTTAGGGATGGGATTCTTGGTATTTTCACTCTTATCGGGAGATCTTGCATGGACCAATTTTTGTTTGCAGCAAATAGTTTTGCAGATAGCTAGGTCCCAGGACAGAGAATTTTTAACTTTTTAGTAGCATCATGAATCACACCTAGAAACATACTGGCTGTCAATGCAGTTCTTGTATTACGCACATTACTCAGTGAAAATGCTATGTTGTTCTCCCAAATTACACGGAATTTGTTCTTAGATAAAAAAAAAATATTACATTTGAAATAAATCACATTAATACAGGGTATTTAGACAGTTTGGCTTCCAATGAATATTGATGAAAAAGTTGAGCATGATTTTTAAAGAGAGATTAATATAACAAAGCAGGAATATGAATTTTATAAGGACATGTTTTTGGCATTTCCAATGGACTGCGCCTGTCTACTTGATAATATCTGTACATTTATACATCACAGAGTGGCCTCAACAATATATGGCTGTGCCTTAATTTATATTCAGTTATGTTTGTAAGTGACTAGATTTCTCATGAATCTTAGAGCAACTCTGTTTTTTAAGAAAAAAATATGAAGTATTTTTTTCCTGATATCTTGGAGAATTTTTCTATTGAAAGAAAAATGAAGGAGACTTGCATTTCGTCTTGTCTCTTGGGTTTGTTTTTGTTCACTTATTTGATTTCTGTCTCCCTTGTTGCACAATGTATCTTGGGGAGGGAGCTGATTTGGGATTAACTATTATTAAAAGGCACCAGAACATCAGAAATGAAAGCACAGTATTCCTAAAGCCAATCTCATTCAAATCCACTAATTCCTAAAGGTAGGCCACTCCAGATTCTGACTAATACCCCAGGAAAAAACCAAACCTTCAATGTCTTACAAAAGATTGGTGGGATTGGGACCATTCTGATATCAGGGGTTATGTTGTTCCAGAGGCCAGATATAGAGACAGAAAGGGCATGTCTCCTGGATTTCAATAAAATAAATACAGAGAGGACCACAACATGCTTATTCTGTTGGACTTTGTGGGACCCAGGCAGAAATATTCAGAGATAGTCCCATTAGTAACCTTGTGCCATGAAGGCTGGTTTATTCAATAGTTTGGATGGACATACTAAGATGCATCCATAAGCATCTGGACCACTGCCTTCTGGACCAGTTAAAGTTCTAAGCGGTCTTCAGGAAAGGTGCCCAAAGCATGAATGACTGTGAACTGGACCATTCCTGGATCTAAGAACTGGTACAAAGACCTGCAAAGGTCTTCCTGATTACAGTTGCCACCTATTCCTCAAACTGGATCTAAGAGTTCAGAGGAAGTCCCAATTGTGTATTAGTTCTGTCTGGAGGATTGCTACCTACATCCAGACCAAATAAGGGAATCTCTTCTGATTTGAGTGGATCTAAAACCCACAGTCACTTAGTCTTGTTAGCATTAAGCTGAAGCCTGTTCTTCCCCATCCAGTCCTTCCACAGCTTTAGATGATGAAAGAGAATCTTGGTAGCATTACTTGATCAGCCAGAGGTAACGATATATAGCTGAGCATCATCACCATCTTGATTAATCTCATACCAATGAATGGCCTCACTCAGTTGTTTCTTGTACAATAGGGGTGCCAAACTCGATTTCATTGAGGGCCACATCAGGGTTGTGTTTGACCTCGGTGGGCCAGGGTGGGCATGGCCAGCTCAACGTCACTCATGTTGGGGGCACCTGTGGAGGTCCAAATGCTCTGCCAGCAAAAACAGGCTACCGAGCTCTGTTTTTGGCTGTGACAACCTCCTACAACCCTCTGCCAGCAAAAATGGAGCTCGGGAGGACCACCTTTTGCTGACAGATGCATCGTGGGCTGGTCCTTTGCAGTTTCCAGAGTGGCCACCCAGATCTAAGTGCCCCATGGGCTGGATCCAGCTCCCAGGCCTTGAGATTGACACCCCTATTGTAGAGGTTCAATAATACAGAGTAGAGAGTAGAGTCCCAAAGAACTCCACAAAAATGGTTTAGTCTTAAGACTAAGGTTCTGTCTCCACCAACACTACCCAGAATAATCTTGGAGAAAGGAGGAAAATCACAGTCCCAGAAAATGGTAATGTCAAACCCATTCCACTTTGTTAACAAACCACCTGGACATGCTTAAGGGGTCATTAAGAGTCAAGATTGTCTCAAGAGAATATTTTTTTTAATGTCTAGAGTGGTGTTTCTCAACCTTGACAACTTTAAGATGTGTGGACTTCAACTGCCATAATTCCATGTTGCCAAGTTGAGAAACACATTTCTAGAGCAGGCAACATACTTGACATGATGTCTACAGTTTTTGCTCTAGTGATATCATTTTAAAGATGATAGATTAGACCAGAACCAAACCACCTTTTGTGGGTCATGTAATTTAATTGTTAGTGACCTTTGAGAGGGATTTTAACAAGATGCAGATTGAGATTAATCAAGAATTCACAACTGAACCTTTTTCAGGGTTGAAAAATACTTTCATTTTATTAGTACCTTGTAAATTAGAATGGATGGACAGCAAAATAAAAAAGAGGGTTCTTCATAAATTAAAATGTGTGAATTAAATGCTTAGCTCTTCTGTTGAATGATAACTTTTTGTTGGTGTGTTGTGAATGGCATCAGAGAATATAACATTACAGTGGTTTTATTAATATCTGTGCAGCATGCCTGGTGACAACAAAAGCTTCATGCTCCTTTTAGTAAAGAAGATAGATTGGCCCATTCACATATAGATTTACAAAGGCTCGTGTCTAACATCTGAATCCCATTAAATACACATGCGCATACACTTATATTTATTTTTACTTCCTCTGATGGATAGCTGTTGTAATTGTCAGGTTTCGATGCTATCTCAAAATAAAGGAATTTCCAAACTGCCGATCTTTAAGGAAATTTTCTCTTTATTGAGCATAGTGATCCGACCCTGGCTCGTGCGCGGTCAGTACTGACCTTTGCCCCCCAATCCCTCCCTTTCCGATCCCCAATTCTCTGCATCTCATTGGCTATCTTCCAAGCCACTTTCCTCATCCCTCCTCCGTCAGATCACAGGAATGTTCCCCTCCTCCCATCTCCGAGGAGACAGAATCTTCAAAGAGATTAAGTAGGCAAAAGTTCAAGCTTCTCCTCTCCTAATATATGTCAGTGCTGGGATGCTGACAGTAATATTCTAGATTTCTTCAACCTACAGTTTCCAAATTTTTTCACAAATGTTCATGCTTTTTAGGGGCATTGGAAGATTCAGTACACCAAAGATTAGGAAGCTAGTAGGCTGCCTAACCTCCTCTATGAATAGCATGCAAATTAGTGCTTCAAAAGCCAACTTTACTTTTGTAGGGAGCCTGCCCAAAAGGAAAATCAATGGAGGAACAGTCTTCCTGAAACAAGGCTCCCCTGAAATAAAAGCCAACTTGCATCCTCTCGCTAACAGGGAAATTACTCAAAGAAGTTTTCACAATAAGCTGAGTGCCCGTGAATGAAATACTATGTATCCATTCATAAAAGCAAAGCGCTCCTTATGAATGGATACTCAGTATCCAGACAGCTTCATTCATAAGCAAAGTGCTACCGGCTGCAGGTTTCGCAAGAAGCTGAAATTGAGCAGATTAAGGATAGAAAAACAATAACACTTAAATCTACATTTCCCTACTGAACTTCAAGGACGGCATGACCTCCCAATCACAATAGGAACCAATATACTATAATTAGAATATTAAAAAGCAAAATTCAAGTCTATTGCACAATGAACCCAGATATCTCAATCACAAAGCACAAAAATCATATAAAAATCCTTATATTTACCAGACCCGGTTATCAGCTGTCCCAGAACCGATTGCTGTATGACACTTCATTTCTGTTACAATAAAGAGACTCCTTTCCAGCAGCTGGCTTCTCGTCCTCACCTCATTGCAATGACACACTCTCTCTCT